CCACACCCCCATGCATCCTCACCTCCCCCATATCACACCCTTCACTTTCAGCCCCGGGGAGAAAACCAGAGAACAGATGGAACAGGGACCAGCCTTCCTGTTGTCTTCTGGGGGTTGGTCCAGCCGTCTTGTCGCCCATACGGGGGGTGAGAGAAGGGGTGGTAGAGATGGTGGTGGTGATGGTGGACAGAGCTCCCCCAGGAGTGCCATTGGGATGTCGATTTTCCCATCTCGGGTGTTCGGCAGGACATCTGGGTCACACACGACGTCGACTATGCTAGACACGGCATCGCGGACGAACCTGACAGCAGTGACCGACAAACCCGTCTGGCATTTAAGCTTAATGAGAGGAGCATCGACCCGGTATGCTGGGAAAATAGAAAAGAGAGAAAAGGCGCGAGCATGAAAGTCTGTCCAGTGTAAGCCTGCATGTATTCAAGCAAGCCACTGAATATGAACCTGTGTTACCCGCCGCATACCGCGGAGAAAGGCCAATTTAGTTCCCTTTTTCTCTCTCTCTTCTCGGCCGCAGTCTGCTAATAGCTTTGGCACTACTCTTCACTACCGCCCGCCTTGTCCGGCCTTTCCAACGTCTCAAACATCCCGCGCGCTCGATACCCTCACCGGTGGTCTGGAACGCCAGTAGTCGACCCTCTACTGATCAGCCCCAGTGCCACCTGCCATGCCCTTCACCGGTCGATCCCTGATCGATGTGCAAAAGGCTGAAGAGGACGGAATGATCACACGGAGAGCCGATCTCAGCTTTCGAATGGTCTGGGAGGCGAAGACACACATCCATTCAAGATGTTAGTACCAATATCCCAGTTGTGGTCTGCCGTGTGTGCGTGTGTCTGCGCATGTTAGCCGCGCAGTAGCCCAGCTGCATATGGCACATGCCGAATCAAGGCTATCCCGGCGCGCAGTGACTTGGGGACGGCGGAAGTTTGCTTTTCTGACAGCTCTCCTCCTCTTGCTCGTCGTCGCCCCCACGCGTCCAACCGAGAGAGTCAGCGTCCCCGGCGGTCGGGCACGGGCGAGGGAGAAGCCATCGAATTGGGTTCGACTAATTAGCTTTGGTCGGGCAAGACAGTCGTCCGAGAGAGTGGTCGCACCGAAGGCTAGCATTCCACACCCCGGCCTGGAGTGCATGTACGTATTTCCAACACGCGGAAGTACCTACAGGAAAACAGTCAGTCAGAAATGCTCTTCCCACGAAAGAAGAGGACCCTTTATTAGCTCGGTCGAATATGCATACGGGGAGAGACTGGTGGTCCACCCCGCCATCCGCCCCGTTTCCCCCCAGTGCGGCCTGGGCCACCACATATCAAAATAGCGATGCTACTCCAAAACACACGGGCTGTCCCAAAGGACTGGATGCCTTCTAGAGAGACTTTTTGCGATTTCTCAAATCCATCAAGACGGAGGAAATCGAAATGAGAGGGTGTCTACATCCCATGCGACGCCATAGAGAATGATTATGTCGTCAGAAAATGGCTTTCAACTCCCACACCCCTACCCTTGGCGGCATGTGGGAGTGCAACATTCGCAGGGCTCCAATCGAAGGGCACCTTGGCGAGGCCTGGACGATCCGAAGCCACGCTTCTTGGCGACGCGGCCAAGCTTTGCTTCCAAGAGGGGGATAGCATCATCGTGGGCTCTTGTCAGTTTTTTGAGATTTCTTGGGGGTGACTTGCGTTCCGCAGCATATAAGGTTCCCCGGTCCCGGACGTGCCCTTACACCTAATATGCCTCGTTCGTGTCGTCCCGTCTCCCGGCCCAGGTCAGAAACCTTATTAGTCGACTCGTCCGCCTCCTCTTTTGAGATTTGGTGTATTCTACCTCATTGAATTCTTCGTCACCAAGACCTGCCTTCCCTTTGCCAAGTGTTTCCTGTATCTCGGGACAACTACTTCGGGTCAGTCCCTTGGGAACATTACACGCGGCAGACCATCACTTCCGGACGCGCCTATCGCCATGTCGAGCAAGGTCGGAAGAACCTTGGCCAAGGGCCTTGGTATCGACGTCGATGCCCGGTACCGCAACGAGCCTACCGAGGCCGTCCAATCCGCCGCCGCCTCGTTCCGCTCCGTCGAGCAGTATGAGGAGAGGGAACCTACTGTCGCCGAGTTCCTGTACGAGCACCGGCCCACGGTTCACGGCGCTGTGAACTACATCAAGAGCCTGTTCCCCTTTTGGTCCTGGATCTTCCACTACAATGCTACTTGGCTTCTGGGAGACATCATTGCCGGTATGTTCTTCATGTAATGCCATTGGTACTTGCTCAAATATCACATTGATTGAGCCCTTGTGATGCCATTTCATCTGCCATCTCATTCCAATATCTCGGAATATCTTGATAGCTAACTATTCATCTAAAGGTGTCACTGTCGGTTTCGTCGTCATCCCCCAGGGCATGGCCTACGCCCTCCTCGCGCAATTGACCCCCGAATACGGTCTCTACACCTCCTTCGTCGGCTTCATCCTCTACTGGGCCTTTGCAACCTCCAAGGATATCACGATCGGAACTGTCGCCGTCATGTCCCAGCTTGTCGGCAACATCGTGCTCCGCGTCAAGGACTCTCACCCGCAATACGACGGCCCTCAAATCGCTCAAGCCCTGGCCGTCATTTCCGGCGCCGTTCTCCTGTTCATCGGTCTCGTCCGCCTGGGATGGATCGTCGAGTTCATCCCGCTCGTGGCCATCACCTCCTTCATGACCGGTGCCGCCATCAGCATCGCCGCGGGTCAAGTCCCCGCCCTCCTCGGTCTGCAGGGCGTCAACACGCGCAACCCGACGTACGAGGTCATTATCGATTTCTTGAAGGCGCTGCCTACGGCCAGACTCGACGCCGCGATGGGTCTCACGGCCTTGTTCTTGCTGTACTCTATTCGCTCGTTCTGCAACTTCATGTCGAACAAGCAGCCCCACCGCAAGAAGTTCTGGTTCTTCATGTCGACGCTCCGCATGGCGTTTGTCATTCTTCTGTACGTCCTCATCAGCTGGCTCGTCAACCGTCACGTCAACTGGGATGCCAAGAAGGCCAAGTTCAAGATCCTGGGCAAGGTCCCCAGTGGTTTCCAGCACACCGGCGCTCCCAAGATTGACACGGAGCTTCTGGGTGCCGTCGCCCCTGATTTGCCGGTTACCATCATCGTCCTCATCATTGAGCACATTGCCATTTCCAAGTCATTCGGAAGAGTCAACAACTACGTCATCAACCCCTCGCAGGAGCTCGTCGCCGTCGGCTTCACGAACCTCTTCGGACCCTTCCTCGGCGCCTACCCGGCCACCGGATCCTTCTCCCGTACCGCCATTAAGTCCAAGGCCGGTGTTCGCACGCCCCTCGCTGGTATCTTCACTGCCGTCATCGTGCTCCTAGCCCTTTACGCTCTGACCTCCGTCTTCTTCTACATCCCCATGGCCACCCTCGCCGGTCTCATCATTCACGCCGTCGGTGATCTGATCACGCCGCCCAAGGTGGTGTACCAGTTCTGGGAGGTATCGCCCCTCGAGGTCTTCATCTTCTTCGCCGGTGTCCTCCTGACCATCTTCACCAACATCGAAAACGGTATCTACCTGACCATGTGCGCCTCAGCCGCCCTCCTGCTGGTACGTCTCGCAAAGGCCAAGGGCCACTTCCTCGGCCGCGTCAAGGTCTACCGCGCCACAAAGGACACCGCTGGCAAGGGCGTCCCCTTCAACGAAAGGGGCGAGGCCATCGATGTTCCTGCCCGCGAGAGCTACATCCCTCTCGAGAAGGATGATGGCTCGAACCCCAACATCGACGTTCAGACCCCGTACCCCGGTGTCTTTGTCTACCGGTTCGGCGAGGGCTTCAACTACACCAACCAGGCTCACTACATGGACGCTCTGGTCGCTTATGTGCAGAAGCACGCAAGACGGACTGTTCTAGATCGCTACGAGAAGCTCGGCGTAAGTTCATCTACCTGCTGTACTCAGTTTGACCATTCATCTAATAATCGTCCAACAGGACCGTCCCTGGAACGACCCCGGTCCGCGTCGCGGCGCCAAGATCGATCTCGACGACACCCGCCCTATCGTCCGCGCAATCATCTTGGACTGCTCTGCCGTCAACAACATTGATGTGACCTCAATCCAAGGCCTCATCGACGTTCGCAACGCACTAGACCACTACGCCGAGCCCGAGGTCGTCGAGTGGCACTTTGCCAACGTCAACAACCGCTGGACCCGCCGCGCCCTCGCCGCCGCCGGCTTTGGTTTCCCCTCCGTCAAGGACGAGGGCAACTTTGGTCGGTGGAAGCCGATTTACAGCTTCGCCCCCGTGGACTCTGGATCAGGTCATGAGCCCCGGGTCACCTCGCAGCGCAGCCGTGACGAGGAGGAGGAGGACGTCATCTCTCCTACGAGCAAGGGTCACGATGGTGCTGCGAGGGTTGTCGGACGTGGTGATGGCAAGCTTGCTGCTGTGCAAGGCATGAATCGGCCATTCTTCCACATCGATGTTGCTGCGGCTGTGGAGAGTGCGATTTTGAACGCGGAGAGCAAGAGTGATGGGCAGAGATCGTCGGCTGAGTCGGTCCTTAAGAGCGGTTAGAGTTGATCAAGTGGCCATGACGTGCACATTTGTTATGGTGCTTGATGAGGTGTAGTAATTGTTGTTCAAAGATTATAGATCCAGATACCAAGTTGTGTTGTTGCATATACCGCTCTAGGGATTGGGAAGAGGCCCTCTTTACACCTTCTAATTCAATCTTTTCCATTATTTTTATCAGATGATATTCTCAATTGAGGTCCATGAGACTTGTGAAGCCTTCAAAGCTGTGTTTCAGCATTGTATCCGTGCGAATTGGTGTAGGGAGGTGGTCTGAAACGCGGCTGATGCATCTTAGCGTTCTGCCTCCGCCGTCGTCTCATCAGCGTTCGCCAACTTTTGATGGGACAAATTCCTGAGCGCAAAATTAGTTTTCAGTCTCTACAACTCCAAAGGTTCTTTCTTGATCGCATCACATCAAGAATCATGCGAATATCATCAAATCCCATTATACGAGCCGCCCTCGTGGCCGCATGGCTCGCCTCAACAGCCCTCGCGATGCCTCAAGTCGTCGACCGCGACGACCCCCCACCCACCCCACCAGCACCGCCGAAACCCATCGCGACAGCCGACCAAGTCGACATTACTCAACCAAACACCACCGTCCCTCCACCACAAGAACAGAAGCCGCCCGTTCCGATCACAGTCCGGCTGTTCCCCAGCTCGCCGGGCGTCAAGAACTGCCGCGGCGCGTCCTTCGTCGACATGGAGCTCCCGCAGAACGCGTCGACGGAGCCGACGTTCACGACCAAGGACGGGCAGTGCTATAACCTACCGGGCACGGCGCAGTGCGGCATCTTCATGGGAAACAAGGCGGACGGGTGCGAGGCCAAGTTGTTTCGCGGGGAGCGGTGCAGCGCATTTTCCAACGTTGCTGTTTTCCAGGACGAGCTACGGCCTGTGGGTGGCTTCTTTGCGAGCATGAGCATCAAGTGCGGTGTCATACCTGTTGAGCCGAAGCCGTTGAGTTTGGGTGGCTTGGGCGGCAAGATGCAGAAGCCCGTTCAGGGGAAGGGCAAGAAGGCTAGGAGGGCGGTTGTGTCTGCGATACTCGACGATGACTAGACTCGCACGGGATGCGGCATGGAGGGAACATTCTGAACATTTGCTTGATAGGCGTTAAGGGTTTGGGACTTGAAGCGAGATTCCACCCCCCGGTCCAAGGGCTCGGAAGGCTTACGGGAGTTGCGGCACGTAGACGCCGGCAATGACAGGATGGCATTAGCCGTTGACGAATAATGATAATGACACCTGACGACCATATGAGAGTTTTCCTTCAGTGAGGCAGCCCCCGATTAGCTGTGGCCCTAGCCACCCCAGTAAACCTGCCAAAGCCAAGTTCCAATCAGTGTCGTTCTGGGTCTTATGACGCCGGACGTTAGACCAGGCAAATTCCTGGTAACACGACGATGGTCGGTTTCTCGGCTCATCAGTCCCAATTCACGTCTGACTGGCTCGATGCCTCGGGACCGCCATGCTGGTGGCGACCAAAAACATCGACCGTCGTGCCAGAGGGAGGATCAAACAGGAGGGGGCCACAGCCGGACCACATCGTCCACAATCTTTTGTTGTGGTTGATTGGTCTGTGCTTGGGGCAGGAGAATTGTGAGACACCCTGCTTGGCGATCATGGACTCTCAGTATGGCCCCGTTTGCTGAGCTTATTCTCTCGATGGTCGTATTGCAGACTGGATACTATGGAAACTCTCTGTTCTCGAACTCAAGTTGGACAGAAGAGAAAACGATTCCGCCAAAGGATTCAACGGCTTTGAACGTGCTCAATCATATGCGAAGAAATAAGCTAGCCGCGGCGTCCCAAGTCTCTGGCGTGGCTTTCACCCAAGACACCAGACCGTCTGATCTGAGATCCCAAATGTGTCATCTCGTCTCAGACGCTCCAGCCCCTTGCACTGACAAGAACACCCTCCTACCGAGTGTGTCCCCCCTCCCACTGCTCCCCTCCATGTCAATTATGGCACATATAACGACACAGACCTCCTTGATCCCTCTCTTTTTAGTTGTCTGCTGCCACTCTTCCCTCATTTTTGAACGAGTCATCCTTCTTTTTTTCTCTCTCTTCTTTCCTTTTGGGGTTGTATTCCTTCACTTCTCAGTGGCCGGCCACTTTTAAACTTTTGGGTTGTCATTGAACTTTATCGGCTGGTTTCTGTCGCGGTCCTTTATGTTCAGTTAAACTTGAAGCTCTCTCGACACCACCCTTGTCTACCTTTTCATAATACAACACCATCTATTCTCCCATCTCACCTTTCGCTTAAGCTCGACATCAAGGCGACAAAGAGTCTCACCAAAAGCCAAGATGCAGCACTCAATCTTCACCAACCTCTTCCTAGCAGTCTCCCTCATGAGCACCGCCGCCTTCGGTAAAGCAATCGAGGTTCCAGCCCCGGGCCCCGCCGTCGTCGTCCGCCAGACAAACCCCACGACGCCCGCCCAGTCAACCATCATGTCGTGCGGCGAGTACTCCCGCATCGCCAACCTCTCTACCGTCGGCGCAAACAGCACCTACCGCGCCACCTTTTTCGAGGCCTCGCCCAACGGCAATCAGTTCAACGCCGAGGTCCTCGACACCGCCATCCTCAAGCTGCCGACCGTCATTATGGACCGCGCGCTGAACGAGGCCTGCGGAAACCTGACGGCGCTGGCGATCCAGGAGGCTGCGAACAACTTCTCGATCCGCACCGTGTTGCAGTTTTCAAACATCCCGCCTGCTGAGCCGCTCGATACCTCTACGCACATCATCTTTGTCTGTGCTGGTGCGTTGTTCTTCATGAGTGGAATCTGGGTGGCCATGCCGTGAGAGAAGCCGTCTCGATATAGTGCTGGGGGGTTTGAGGAGGAAGTTGATGGGGAAGATGGAGGCAGGGGGAGGGAGGGAGTGGGAGAGAGGACCGATGTTCAAATCACCCGGATTCTACAGACCTAATGCATCCTACCTGAACCCAGCTTTGAAATGCGGATTGACTCTGAGTCGGAATGGGACTTGAGAGATATGCTTAGCGTGGTGTTGAACATGAATGCCATTACGATACCCAATTAAAGTCACTTACTTTGGCCGCTGCATCGATCCATGAGATGATCAGACTTCATTTCGGTGATATTATCGCCCAGCAGCATAAACGTATCTAGATAGAGCTTCGCCTCGATTGTCAAAGCTGATATGTCGCCCTGCTCCCCGATTACACGGATTGCACAAAATCTACAGAACGGATCTCTCAAGACCCGGCGGCTTGCATACTAGATATACTAGATATAACTGAGTTCTGGCTACGCTGATAACTCACTATGAATCATCATGGCTCAGTGTGTAAAGTGAGACTCTCATTGGTCGCTAGTGGACTAGTAGATCGGTTTGGACCCTGAACGATCTAGGCATGCACGTGCATCGATCGCTCCTGCCAGTCCAAGGAATTCGATCCCTCTACTAAGTACTACACGTACAGTATATATCGAGCTCTTCCTTGTTCTACCTTAGACGTTCTCTTTCATTCCACTTCCAACTCTCCATACAGCTGACAACCACAACGTCCGGAAAATGTCAGAATTAAATCACGCCATCGTCTTTGGCGCCTCTGGTCTGCTTGGCTGGGCGACAGTCGAGCAGCTGCTCTTCAACTACCCCTCCGAGGGCTCCTTCAAGAATGTCACGGCTCTGATGAACCGACCGCTGTCAGAATCCGCCTCTTTCTGGCCGCCAGCGTCGTCCAACAGACCTAGATTGCAGATTGCTTCTGGCGTCAACCTTACTGGGACGCTGGAAGACCTGACTTCGCAGCTCAAGGGCAAAGTTGACGGGGTCGAGGGCGTCACCCATGTATTCTATTTCGGTGAGAATTGTGTCCTATCTGGTAGTTTTATTCACTGGAATATGCAGCTAATCTTCTGGCATTATACCAGTCTTCAATCAGGGCGATGGGGATGATGTTGCTGAGTGCAAGACCAACTGTGGTATGATGCAGACGGTGGTTGACGCGGTCACATCGTTATCGATGAACCTCAAAGCATTCGTCTACTCTGGCGGAACCAGAGTAAGTTTTCCTCATCTCCCATCATACCATGATATAAAGCTGACAAACATCACTCAGGGCTACGGAATCTACACACCTGGGGGTACCTTCAAGCCTCCCCTGGAAGAATCAATGGCAGACAACCTCCCCGAAGACTACGCAAAGACCGTCGCGTACCCCTGGTGGCGTAAGATCCTCACAAAGGCAAGCGATGGCAAGCCTTGGACCTGGTCAGAAGTATGTCCAGACGCGGTAGTCGGATTCTCACCAAATGGATCTGGTTTCTCGTTGGCACTCCACTGGGCCCAGTACCTATCCCTCTATGCCTACAACCACGGTGTGGGCAAGAACTCCAAGTCCAATGTTGAAGTCCCATTCCCTGGAAACCAGGCGGGGTATAACAGCCTGTGCACTCCCGTCTCTTCTCGGACTTTCGGACGCATCGCCGTCCACGCCTCACTTCATGGTGACAAGTGTGGTGGAAAGGTCATCAATATGGCCGATAAGGTCCAGCCTACCAACTTTAGTGACCTCTGGCCATCGATCGCTGATTGGTTTGGATTGGTTGGCGTTGGGCCGAGGGAAAACGACAATGCAGAGAAGCCCGGGGAGTATGTCAAGAAACATAGGCAGATATTCGAAGAACAGGGCTGTGGCAGAGCTGTCACTGCTGGCGTTGGTGGTGGTAGTATCCAGCTTGACAGCGTCGGTTACTGGCTGTCCTTCGACAGACAGCTGAGCTTGCAGAGGGTGAGGTCTGTGGGATTCATCGAAGAGAGAGATCCTGTTGAGGGCTGGCTGGAGGCTTTTGAAAAGTTTAGAGACGCCAAAATCATTTTGTAACAACATCTTCTCCGTTTACACATTCTATATGTCTTAGTATAGGCTTCTACAATGATCTGAAACTTCGCTTCTGTGAGCTAGAGTTTACTCCTTCCCCAACAACCACCGCATCCCCTTCATCGTATTCGGCCCCAGCTCCGCTGGCTGGTCTTGGGGCGCAAAGATAGTCCAGCCTTGATGTCCCCAGTCAGGATAGTTGTCAACTCTCGACTCAACCCCATTATCCTTCAAAACCTTTGCGTAAATCAACCCATCATCCCTCAACGGGTCTCGATCGCCAACCTGGATATAAGTCTTGGGGGCTTTCGGGATGGCTTCGGGGTCATTGAACGGCGAGTACCAGGCCGACTTGATCTCCGCCTCCAACGCCTTCGACACATCGTTGATGACTGCTGTAGTAAAAGTCGGGCTCCACTCGGCGTTGGTCTCTCGAGAAACCCACTCTTTGGCGTACTTCTCCGGCACAATCTCCTTTACAAGCAGGAACGGGATGCCCAGAAGCGTACCAGTGATCCCCAGCCCCTCAACACCAGACCTCTGGCTGACAACCGAAGCAATGTTGGCACCAGCAGACCACCCGCCAACAACAAAGCCCTTGCCGATATCCGCACCGAATCGGCTGGCATTCTTCGAAAGCCAGACTGCCGTCTCCCAGCCGTCCCTGACGGACCTGGGGAACTTATTTTCAGGCGCAAGACGGTAAGTCGCGTTGACCACCACTGCGCCGAACTCAAGCGCAAATTCCCGCGCGGGGCGGGTCGTCGGCTCGACGCCGGCAACGATGAAACCGCCGCCTGGCCAGAGCAGGATGAGAGGCCGGTCCGCGTTCAACTCGTCTACCCCGCGCGGGCGGACAATTTGGAGATCAATTGTGTAGCCATCTGAGAGAGTTGCGACGTCGCGGAACTCTTCGAGGGACTTGTCAAGTGGAGGGAGAGCTGCGAGAAGGCTTTGGAGAAGTTGAGGTCGAGTTTCCCTCGACTTTATGAATGACTCCATGATTTGAACGTTTGACGAAATTTGATGTACGAGATGAATCTGAGACTTGAAGTTGCGTAGTTGAATAAGTGTGAGGAATGGGGGTTTCGCGAGAGGACGTTTCGGCTTTCTTCAATGATTTCTCGTATTCAGTATCCGAGTCGTACCACCCCCGCCCCCATGGATGTGGATCCGGGGAGAGGTCGGGTTGAGAACGCGGGGCGTCGGGCCAAGTCCGGCGTCGGCAATGCGACGTCGGAGCAGTCAATTGGCATCTAAGTGGTTCCAATCATCACGACGGGTCCGTCGACGGGATGTTCTGCACCGAAACCGAAGTCATTGACCCAGCATGGTCGCGCGGCAATAATCAACTTGTGATCCGGGTATAAGGGCTGCTGAACCTACGTGTGCGCTTCACCAGGATCCTTCGTCTTACGTGCGCTATATGTTACCTTGGAGTACTCCTTATCGCACACAGGTCAGTACAAGGTTTCTTGCTGCCCAGTGACGAACCCGCTGGCAACTCTCAATCATCAGAAGACCTGGCTTCAGTCGCCAAGCATATCTTGGGAATGGTTTGGTCTTCAGCCCTGTTCATGGTACATTTGTACATCGAAGGAGGGTAATGTTTCAATAACACTCTTCTTCATGTCGTCCCCGTCGAGAGAATTCCCCTCGATGCCATCTCACCTATTCTGGCTCCCAAACGTTCCCAATATACATGAAAATATCTGCCATAAGTACTATGATTCGTATCAGGAGACGAAATAGACTTCCTCCATCTTTTTCTAGCATTGTTCATGATAAGATAGCAGAATATAGAGTGCAAGATTTTGCAACATAGTCATATCGCACACAAATATTAGCTCCCTCTCAACCGCCCATCACAACACACGGAAGATAATGTGGTTGGTGAGCCAAGCGAATGCAGCACTTGAGGCAAGCTGAAGTTTGAAGAACGCATCGCCCAGGAAACCAACGACTGTAAGATGCCTTGCGCGCCCACCTATTCACCTGATCTTGCATCAGACCACACACCAGGAGCTGTTGAAGTGTATTCCTACGTAAAGCATACACCAGCACTTCCGCGGCGTCTCGCCGGGGTAAGAAAGCCACATGGAAACCACATACGACCACATCCTGGTCGTGTTCTAACGTATACGGCCCGTCTTTCTCGTGACTGCACTTGGGAACAGCCCAATAGGCCATGAGCTGATACACGCATAGAGTAATAGATGCTGCCACAGACCTGGATGTCTTTCCGGCTAAGTTCAGCCGAACTGAGATGGCATCCTCTTGGACAAAGGCATCCATGTTGATTTCGGTTTCCGGTGGCCTGTGACTGGGTTCCAGCGTAGTCCTCCCAGCCAAGGAGACAACATCGGCAGTCTCGTTGATATCATGCAAGACTTCGTCCGAAACGCCATCCGGAAACCGGAACGGTCCTTCCACGACAATGTTGCGGAAAGCTCCAGCCACTGATGCCCGGCCGGACTGAATGCGTAGGATTCTGCCAGAATCGTCAAAAGACTCATTCTCCATCACGCATTTGTAATTAATGGTGAAACCCCTTCCTGAAAGAACCAAAATCTCCTTTTCATCTGCTCCAGGTCCCGTAGGCATGACGCCATGGAGCCAGTAAGGCATGTAATCACAGCAAATCAGTTCCCCTAGGTAACGAATTATGTCGCTAATCTTCACCTGTACGCTCACCCCTCTGTGTTCCTTTTCCACCATGTGGTATTGGAGGTCAGTATGACAAACAGTCATCCATTTGCTCAAAGCGTTCTCAGAATCTCCCGCAATGACTGCATCCTGTACTCTTAATTCGGCGGCGTCGAAATTGCATAACATTAGTGCCAGGGCCGTGGTTGCAAAGCCGTACATCAGCTTCCCAACTAGCATGCAAGGACAGTTGTGGAAGCTTATGACTTCAAAGTCTTGCCTCGCATCCGATTCGAAAATGACCTGCCCCTGTTGCAATGGATGCACCGGGCAGGAATCCACTAGTGTTTCTATAGCCTTGTGGTCAAGGAAAAAAAGCCCCATCTCATCCTCATGTTGTCCAAATGAGTGCTCAGGTCCTCCGAGAGGCTTCGGCCAGCTCGGAGCAACTTGCTGGGTAGAGTCGACATAAACACCCATTTTGTTCAAGGTGTCCTTCAACGCCCTCACCCCATCGACAAGGCCGTTGACAAAATTGGCGTACAAGCCCTTATCATTGAGTTTCATTCTCCTCGAGAGGTAGAATGAGAAGCTTTTAATCCCAATTCGAATGGATGTGGCAAGGCCGTCGTCAATTTCAGGTCTTTTGAGGAACTGTGCCTCGAGGGCATCTCCGATGAGATAGTCAACTTTCAAACTTGACCCGCTGCTTCCTTCTTCGTAGTCTTGTTTCACAGGCGGCGCAATCACCCCATTGGCCTTTGCGAAAGGATGGATTGTGGGATGAACGATAGACTCGTCATCAAGTTGAAACAGAATGTGCCCATGATCACCTCCACTGGCCCAAACGATTGTTTGATTGAGTCGAACCTCCACAGACATGCCAAGTACATAGCTGGCGAAGGCCGGCAGCCAAGATCCACGTGTCTTCAGTGCCATGTAGTCTCTTTGGTCCTTCTGGGCCGAGTGAATAAGTTGTTTTATAGCCCGAGCAAGGGAAGTCGCGCCACCCATGTCTTTCAGTCGTTTGAGAAGATCATGAACTCTTTCGTGGCTATCAACTCCAAGTTTTCTGCTGTCGTGCCTGATGATTCTCTCTGCAAGGATTGTAATGTGCTGGAGAACCTTTGAGAAGCCGAGATTCTGGGTGAATGGAGCTAGGTAGTCAACCAGACCCTTGAGCACATCGACGCTCGGCCGCATATCAGCCTCGAGTCCGTAAATTGCCATCACCTCAGATAGACACTGGGCGGCTGCAAAGGCTTGACATCCCGTTCCGGGAGCACCAATCAGAATGATAGCATTCGTCCCAGCCACTGTGCGAGCCAGATCTGCAACCGGTGCCGAGTGGCCCCAGCCGATGCTGAGTGCCTTCGACAGAACTGATTGATATGTTTTCTTCGACATAATGTGGGCGTACAACGAGCTCTGGTGCGAAGCTTGGACGGGTATACGCTTTCCCAGCTGAACAGCAGCCCACATGGCATACGTATCGACACCTCCATCACTGAGGGCCTTGAGCAGTCGCCCAGTCAAGACATGTCCCAGAGAGGCCGTGTTCACGACGTCAGCTTGAAAGCTGAAGCCTACTTGATCGGACATGGTCGGCCGTCGTGTAGTGCGTGGTATTCGCTCGCGATGTTCGAGGTCTGGCGGACGTTAGCTATTGTACCAAAAGGATGTTGGAAGACTACTTGCCTGATGGTATGGCCTTTTGCTCGAGTAAAAAGCGACAGGCTGGTCTACTGTTGGCGAACTTGGGTGATGTTGACTCTGACCTCCCGGTGCACAACGTCAGATATGGAAAAGAGGGGTAAGGTAGTTGCATGTATGTAGAAGCAGGCTGAGCTGGGCTGAGCGATGGCAGGAGGCTCTGCCCATACACCTTGCTGCGTATCGGGAAACCATGTAATTGGCCGGCGATGCACGTGAAGTCTTAGTATCGTCACTGGGAGGGACCAACACCACAAGACACCAGTAAGATAAAGGCAATCACCAAGGGTATTCCTTAAAATAACATGAAGATATAATCCATGGGTTGTGGAATTCGAATTCAATTTCAAAACCCTCAATGACTCTTATTGATCTAGGGGGAAGAGTAAGTGATGCGCCTGCTACCTACCTGAATCTGCGGAGCGCTGCAGAGGTGAGGTGAAGTAGCATCAAAAGTGCATCCGCCTCCTGCCCAATCAGGCTAACTCATTCCTACGCTAACCCGGACATAATTGTTAGCAGTGACTTCACGTCCATCGCGGCACCAAATCAATCTTCACCAACTCGTCATCCACGATCATCTTATCACCACCTCGATTCCCACCATCAACCTCTCAAGCTTCGCAATCCACCAGCAATAATTCATAACAATGGCTCGCACAGAAGAAGCAGAAGCATTCTTCCACGCAGTCTACACCGCAGTCCAAGAGATCCCCGTCGGCAAAGTCACAACCTACGGCCACATCGCCAGGCTCGTCGGAACCCGTGAGTCCTTCCCTCACTCCACCCCTCCACTCACGCTCCCTCCCATCACCCGGAACCTCATCTCATCGCATCTCATCCTTCACATGATTCCACGCACCATATACGTAATCCATAAAGAACACCTATCAGGTAATAGCTAACAACCCCAAAGCCGAACGCCCCCGTCAAGTAGGCATCTGCCTCAAACACCTCCCAACAGACCCAGCATCCCGCTTCAACAACGAAAACGTCCCATGGCAGCGCGTCATTAACGCCAAAGGAACCATCTCGCCACGGTAAATCCACCTCACCTCCCACCCCTACAACCCATTTTCGCACCGTCACACTCACTCTCACTCTCATGTACACACGCATCTAACATCAAACCCCCACCTCAGTTCCCAGCCCTCAGGCGCCCGGAACCAAGCCGAAGCCCTACAAGCCGAGGACGTCGAGGTCTCGCGGACGGCAATGGGCGAGTTCCAGGTCGACTTTAGTTCTTACGGCTGGTTTCCCGATGTCCTCCCCTCTGAAGAAGAATGAAGGCGGACAACAGTCAAGATTATAATCAGACATGTCCCGACATCGAAAGATTCCGAAATGTCATAGGGCAGACGGACCTGCCTGGATCATCGTCAACGCAGAAACACGGCATGAGGCACGATACGTGGAGCACAAGTTGAACTTCCAAACCACTTTTTATTCAGCCGACGGCATTCCAGCGAGCGCCAAAGACTAGCACTAGCCAAGGTGTCTAAATCCCCCCTCGTCTTGTCTCTCAAGACCTTCTTTGAGTAACCAGGCAGCCAAAGGCAGTCAGCCCGGCCACGCAAACACCTCAAGAGACCGCCAAGAAACGCAACCGGTCCGTCTCCAACCCACCACCATCCCATCCACCATCATCCTTCCCTCGTGCCGTCATTAGTGCACGACGTCGGTCTTGCTATTCGTAAAAACAAAATGTTATGTAAGAGAAATAATTAGAATAGAAACAAAGAGAAGTGAAGGGTTGGATGGTGCATATCGTATGAGCAAAGTCGCGTAGTGGTATTGAAAAAAAGGAGTGGTCCATCGTCAATACCCTCCCAGCAGAAAAAGCACGTACGAGCCACCAGTATGAGAAACTCCTGCCCAATCTTTCTGGGTTTCGCCATGCGTAAGGGGAATCATCGTCGGCCAGCATAAAAATGCCGCAAACGCAAAATACAATATGGCGCGAGGGGTAGTGTAAACGGTAAAAACGAAAATCAAGAGAACGCCCCGCCACGCCGAAAAAAAGAAAAACAACCAAAACCCCGGCCCAATCGATGTCCATGACGCGGGACAGGTCAATCCAGTCGGACTCGGTCCCTCCGAGATGCGAGGTTCCAGCAACAAGGCTTCAACTAGAAGCAGTTGAGGGAACCCTTCTTCTTCTTCTTGGACAGTGCATTCATGCGCTCTTCAAGAAGACGCTGCTGTGCCTCGGCAGCCTGGCGCTTCTTGCGTTCCTCCTCAACGGCGTGCAAGCTCCAGCGGTTGTCGGCTTGCGGCGTAGGCGCGGGACGGTCCTTGAGCTCCTTGACCTCGGACTCCAACTCCACACAGCGCTTGCGCCAAGCATCGCTGTCGGCCTTGACCTTGTTCGACTGACGCTCGAGGTCGGTGAGGGCCTCCTCCAGAGTCTGAGTGAGTTGCTTCTCGGCCTGAAGATGCTTCTCGATGGTGCGAATGCGAGCCTCCTGGTCTTCTTGAATTTGGTTGACGGGGCCCATGTTGTCTTTGCTGCCTGGTCGGCCTGCTTGAGTGGGTGTGCTTGGCACCGTGCCGTTGGGGCCGGACGACGCGCCGGGCAGCGGCGGCAAGGGAATGGCCGGCGGCGGAGAGGGCAGAGACGCAACAGAGGCGCTCTTCCGCAGCGGGGAACTAATCGAGTTGGATCTTTGGACTTGGCCAGAAGCCGACGCTTCGTCAATCTTGGCCTGCACTACATTAGCAATTGAAGAAGAACGAGCTGCTTGAGTGACACATACCTGGAGGGCCGCGTATTCGGCCTTGAGTGAATCAAGCTCGCTTTCAGCCTTGAACTTGGCAGCCTGAGCTTCCTCAATCTGCGAGTTGCGCTCTGTCTGCAGCGTGGACAGGCGGTTGTTGGTCATCTGGACCTGATCAAAGTTGCTCTGTAGCTGATCCTCGAGCTCCTCCACAAGGCGAGAGTTCTTCTTGTTCCGGCTCTGCAAGTCTGAAATCTTCTTACGAATAGCAGACAGCTGGTCGGGGAGAGGAGCAGGGCTTTTCACTGGCTCACCCTCCGCAGTAAGGAGATCGGTCAGCGTCGATTTGGCCTGCTCAAGTTCCTTGACCAGGTTGTCGTTAACGGTCGACAACTCGGCAACCTGCTTCTCAGCTGCGCTCGACTTCTTCTGCTCCTCGCCCAAGGCCTTCTGGTCGGCAATCAAGTCGTCGATACGCTCTGTGATCTTCTCGATGCTGACGTCAAGACCAAGCGCGAACGCAACTTGAGTAGCGACCTTCATGAGATCTTCCCGGGCGTCATTAAGCTCGCATTCGAGGGCTCTGACATTTTCCGCATGCTCATTGAGCAAGACTGCGACTTGCTCCTCGTATCCCTTCTGCTCCATCTGCTTCATCTCCTCGAGCTCCTTTGCGTGGTTCTCCTGAAGCAGCTTCATACCATCTTGATGCGTCTTCAGAGCCTGTTCGTGGGCCGTAATCTGGTTCTCCAGGTTCGTGATAAGACTCTGCTGCGTCTTCGCCTGTGTCTCATGCAAGTTACGGGCCCTGATAACGTCCTCCAGCTCCGTCTTGGTGGCAGCGTGCGCTGCTTCCAGTTCGGATACCTTGCTAGAGTTGGTGGTGATGGCAACCTTGTGCTCGTCAATCTCGTCGCGAAGTGACTTGACCAGCGTCTCGTGCTTCTCCTCGATCTCCTTGACTTCCTCAGCACTCCGAGCAGTGGAGTGCGCGGAGGCCTGCGTGTTCAGCGCTACAATTTCAGATTCGAGCTCTTCGATGGTCTTTTTCATCTTCGTCTCCGTCTCTTGCAAGGTGTCGAGGGCTGTCTGGTGCTTCGTCTCCCATGCCGTGAGTTCGGCTTGCAGTTCGGTGATCTTCTTGTCGTTCTCCTCTGTGGCCTGCAAAGATCTCGTCTCGGTGTTGGCCACCTCAGTCGATGCCATGGGGATGTCGGCAACGGCGCCGGCCGCGGCGGTCGCAACCACGGTCTCGGTAGTACCTTGAGGGGCTTCACCCACAGCAGGAGCATCCCTCACAGCAGTGCGCAATGTTTCGAGCTCGGCCATAAGCCTCTTCTCGGTGGCTTCGTGGTTTTCTCTCATTTCTGCCATCTGCTTCTCGTTGGCCTCGAGTTGGTTCTTCAGGGTGGAGATCATCGACATATCCATCGGAGACGCCTGCAAACTCGATCGCTCACGAGTAAGCCCAGAAATCAGAGCCATTTTAGTCTCCATCTCTTTCTTGGCGGACGCAATGTCAGCCTCGAGCTCCTGAATGCGCTCCGAGCGAGCATGCAGCTCGTGCATGGCTGCGTTGAGGTTAAGCTCGAAGTTTTGCATGACATCAGGCTGGCCTTCGAAGTTGTCTGCGGCGATGTTGCGGAGCGACGCAAAAGATCGATGAGCGCGGTCGATAATCATAACATTTTGGCTGGACTTGCGGCGAATGACGGGTTGGCCAGTGCGTGGCGACGACGCCTCCAATGCCTTTGCTTGGGCAACTTCGGTCTTCAGCTCCTCCAGCATATCCAGGGCTTCGTGGTGCTTCTGTTCAAGCTGTGTGTACTTCTCGGCCAGCTCCTTCTCTGCATCCTCCTTCTCGGCGGCAAGAGTCTTGAACCTCTCAACCTCCGTCGCCAGGAGATCCTGGTGCATGAGATCCTCCGTTGACAAATGTTCTGGACCCGACTCAGGCTTTACAGTCACTGATGTCTCGGCATCAGACGGGTCAACCGTGGCAGGCGACTCCAACGCCGACGAAAGCTCTGATGACAGAGAGCGTGATGAAAATTGGCCGCCGTCTTTGAGATCACTCGACCTGGCGTCGGAGAAGAACGAGGGTGGTCGAGTCAGGTTGGGAGAAGTGACAGACATCATAGAGTCTCGGACCTTGCGTTCGGGGTGGCGAGACTCGTCGATAGTGTCCTGAAGCTCTGCCAAGGTGCGTAGGGCTTCCTCGTACTTGGAGTGCAGAAGGTCGTATTCGTTGACCGTGGTCTCATGCTCTACCCGCAAGTCGATAAGCTCCTGAGTGACGTTCTCCAGCTTGTCGTGCACGAATTTGGACTGAGCAGGGCTGTGAGGTGGGTAGTCGTTGATATCGGCCTGAAGGTTCTCCTTCGCATCAGGTGTCACAACGTGGGTGCCATTTTCGATGTGATCGCCGTTTTGAACGGGACCTGTTACCTCAGCTGCCGCCGCGGCTTCTTCTTCGGCATGCTCAGGAATGATATCATTCTGGCTCATGCGGATAACACGCGACTGAGACTGGCTACGACTGTGGTCAGCAATTTGGCGCGCAACACCGTTCGATGCTTCGGCAGTTGGCTCTGGAACTTTGCTGTCGCCCTGAATGTGGTCCAGCTCGTGAAGCAGAGAGTCCAGCTTTCCGAGACTTCGCTGGCGCTCAATCACCTGCTCTAGTCGATCAATTTCGCGCTGCATCAGCTCGGCATCCTGGTCGGCCTCGGCGAGTCGCTCCTCCAAGGTGGAAATGTAGTCCTCGCAAGAGGCTTCATTCTCTCTGATCCGCGAGATCTCCTTGCGCAGTTCCACAATAATCGTCGTGTTCTTTTCCTCCCCAGAGGTGTGGCCGTCCAGCTTGTTCTCCAGGTCGTGGAGGTAATTTTCCGTACTCGCTTCCCGATCCATGAGTTTTTGCAAACGCGCCTGCAGCTGTGTGTTGATGGTCTCAATGTACGTGCACTTGGTCTCTTTTTCTAGCAGATTTGCCTCGGTATTGGCGAGTGTGCCGCGCGTGCTGGATAGCGATTGTTCAAGAGTTTGAATGGTCTTCTCGTACTCGAGCACGACTTGCTCGACTGCAGCAGCGAACGAGTTTGATCGATTCAATCTCTCCGTGGCCGTGTCGCCCATAGACTCCTCGTGTTGATTGTTCTCGGCAGCTTCGTTGTCGCGGGCCTTAGCCATCTCAGCAATAAGCTTTGCGTGACGTTGACTTAGGGTCGTGTAGTTTTCTTGGACGTCCAGAAGCTGATTTTGCAGTTCGCTTTCACGCTCATTGTGTCGCTCAGACCGCTCGCCTGTGGAGGCGATGCGCCTCTCGCCCCCGCCTCGCTCCGCGCTGCGGACTTGCTCGCGCAGGAAGGCAACCTCCGCCTTCAGACGATCAATGATGGCCTGTTTGTCACCCTCCTCCACCTGCTGAATCCGTGGCTTACTTTGGATGGCTCGGGCCCTCTGTGCATATTGGACGGTGTTTAATGTTTCGCTGAGATGGAACTCGGCAGGTGTCACGCAGGCAATCATGTACGTGATGGCATTTCCACCGAGCGAGTCTTGGAGTAGACGGGTGAGTTTGGAGTCGCGATAAGAGACGTGCGACCCGGCCTGTCGTGATGAGAGTTGTGAAATGACTTTTCCGAGCGCAGCCAGGCCAGCGTTGATGGAAATACCTTCCTTGGCACGCTCGCCCTGTGCGCCAGTGTTCTTCAGCCGCTCACTACCTGCCAGATCGACGAAATGTAGCTTGCTGTCTGTGGTAACCCAGGTCTCGGATCCCGTCATAGCTTCGATGGGCACGGAGAAACGCTTTTCGGCCCCATTTGAGCCCTGCAGGCCGCTCTTCCGCTGCACCAAGTTGAGACTGAACACGGCGTGGGACCGGGAAGACCTGGCGTTAATGGCCGTCGCATCTGTCTGTCGAAGGGTCGAACCGAAATTCAATGCATTCATGAGGTCCTCCACTGAGTTAATTTCAACCTGTCGCAGGCCGGTCAGGATGATGTTCCCCTTGACATCTTCGCGGATTGTGACGTTGCCACGCTCGTGTTGTGGGACGTGGTCAGGAAGAAGCAGATCGCGCAGTTGCTCGTTGTAAATTTCGAGGTATGTTGCTTTCAAAGACCATGTCCTGTCCGCTGCTGAGGTCGATGTTGGTTGGGCGGAGTATCTGTGTGGTGCTCTCAGCTGAGACATGGAGCCACGATTCGCTTGTTTCTTCGGGCCGTCGAGCTTTTCGAACAAAGCCGTCGCCGCTCGGGGAATAACGCCTAAAAATAATGTCAGCTTGGAGGTTTGTAGGAGACGGAGAGCTTCGCAGATAACCGAGTAGCACGGTAACACGACGCAGTGTAACTAACCCATCACCTCGAGGTCGTCCTGATCGATAGGACCTGATGTGCCCATCGTGTACGACTTTCCAGCGCCAGACTGGCCATACGCCAACAGCGATACATTGTAGCCCTGGATGAAAGCGCCGACGCAATCCTGCAAGTAGTCCCAAATGCCTTCTTGTTCAACCTCGGAGCCAAAGACGCGATCAAATACGAAGAGTTTCCTTCCTTGTGGTGAGTCAATTGCCAAGCTCGTGTTCGATGTCACCTGCGCCATAGATCTTTGAAATCGTTGAGGAATTAGTTCGTAGCCTGGATCTGTGGGCTTCAGAGGCGGTCGAACACGCACGGCTACGTAGAAAGAGAACGAGGTTAGTGGTGTAATGATAGGCTGGCATGAAGGGGGAGGTGCCGCGCAATGTTCAGACAAGTGACGAACAGCACCGGAGATGGGAATTGCACACTTACCGACTTTGACGGCCGTCCGGGAGTCTTCGTCGGAGGCTTTGCTTCCACCGCCATGTTTGCTCGTCATGCTCAGACGGCTGTTGCTCCGTGGTGATGGTCGCACCATTGCGCTCAGCGGTCTTTGGGGTAGATGATTCCCAGGGGAGGCCGGCGGTGAGCTGGCCATGATGGGAAAGCGAAAGAGAGGAAGGGATTTCTCGGATCGGGTGCGCGAGCGGAATGCGTTCCTCCTTGTATAAGGTTAATCGCGCGCAAGGCAAACAGTAGAACGAACGGGGTGTCGGGATTGTGCAGTCCTGGTCCCCAGGCTCGAACCCTGTACTGCGGAGGGTATGAAGCACTGTTCGGTATCTGGTGCAGTTGTGCCGTTGTCTCAAAAGTGTGATCGAATCGACGGGTGACGGATTGCGCGAGCGTGTGGAGGTTCCTATCTGTCCGTAGAGGGGAAGAGAAGCTGTTTTCGGTGCACTACTTCTTATGCTATCGTGGGGCGGCGAATTGTGTATCTTGTGTTGGCTGTGAAGGAGTGATGGAAGGCTACTCTTTTTTTTCGGATTCACCACAAAAGCGGCAGCGCAGCAACAGCAGCTCGGTGGAAGTGAAAGAACAAAGGCGTCATATGGTACCGAGTATCGTATCGAAATGTCGAGGAAGCAAAATAAAAACAAGCAACAGCAAGGACGGGTTGCCTATGGCTCTCTGGGAGCCCGTCGTCGTGTTGCGTTGCGGGTGCAATGCGTTGTCTGGCGTTGCTTGGGACGCGCGCGAGATTGTTGGAGATATTCGTAGGAAAGGGTAGCCCGGGATGCTGGAGTGTTTTGTTGCGGGTTCTGCTGGCCGAGTAGTGTGGAGGGGGCATGCGTGGACAAGCTACTCAGGTAGACGGCGAATTGGAATTGGGGGTTCGCAATGCTGCGGTGGACTGCTCTTCTGTGCCGAGTCCGCCTCCCTGTGGCAGACACCTCACACTGGACTGGGCCGGACTGGGACCTGGGAATGGTTAGACTGGCGAGGGCCAGGGGTGGGAGAGTAAGGTACCTAGAGGAGAGGTCGAGGGAAGAAACAGGGGAACCCAACCGTCAGTCGTGTTTATTCTCCAAAGGCGAAAGAGGTGTCGAGTGTCGACAGAGTCCAAGAGGTGGCACTGTGGTAGGTACTCCGTACCCAGGCTGGCAGCAGAAAGTAGAACGCAGCAGACAGGCCGGGGGTGTGGTGTGGATGTCTCGCAAATTAGGAGCGCGTCGATGGTGGGCTGTGATTGGGTGGCGCGAGATGTGACGGATGCGCCCGTTCTCACAGTCGAATGTCTCCTGGGCCGATTCGGGAATGGCAGCAGAAGGGCTCAAGGGGGGCCAACTTGGGGGACTCCTGTCTGTTGCTGCTTCTGGACTGAATCAGGTCGAGTGCGAAATAATCCCCGGCGGATCGTCGTGACAGGTATGGACCGCTTCTGAGTCGCGATATCCGACCGGATGACTGCCTGCCAGGTGGGTTGTGGGGGAAGGAGGATGTCGCCGGAGAGGAGAAGGACTGCAGGAGAGTGGTGAGGAGGAAGAGAGCAAAAATGGTGGAAGATGAATAATCCACTGATCACAGAAGGAAGGGAGGTGGCAGACAGGAAGAAGTTATTCGTACCCGTAATCACGGGTGGAATGAAGGAAAAGAGGAAAGAACGAAACGGCTAAGTGATTGACGTTCCTTCTTGCCAATTGTAAAGCACTTTGGTCATGCCAGGAGCACCTCGCGGAATGGGAGGTTTTGGCACGGAAAGAGCAATGAATGGCAGCATTGAGTGGCAGGAGGAGAGGCACAAACAATGAGTTCCTCGTCTAGGTAAGGTACCTAAGGTAGTTTTCCCAAACTCGTCACCTCGCATTGCCATTAAACAATGACAAGTTACCTCATTACCTAGTACCTCGTATCATGAATAGAAGAATGAATAAGACTCGGCAAAGGACGTTGAGCCTCTCTAGACCGCTCGCCCCAGTCCCAGTCTATGCCGGTCTCATGTCTGTCGACCTTAACTTAAGTGCTTAATTATCGAGGAGCCATCACTATTGGCAAGACCTATCTCCAGCTGCAATGTCCAGAGAGACAACGGCAGAGAGTCCGGTCTTAACTCTAGCGATACAAAGCCAGGGTCCAGGACAGGGGATTGGATGGATCATGGAATGGGCAGGATAAGATGGGATGGCCCATCCACTGATGAGAGGGCCGTGTTATCCCGGGCTTCCCTTTTCTCTTGACTGCATTCCGTAGCAGAGCTTTGATCCAGTCGTGCCAATGTATGGCTGCTGGCCTTTTTTCTTCTTTCCGCTTGTGAGAGCTAGAGGCCACCGACGTCGACGACTGCAAGCCCGGTCTTGATGCCAATCATTGTGTAAATGACGTGGAATGCCGTTTATTCGCTACCTTGTCTCGATAGCTTCAAAAACCACCACCATTTTCTATCCAACGAAAAGCGATGCACAGCGAAAGGAAGGAAAGTGCAGAGGGGGAAGAAAGCGAAAGGTGGGGCAGCGACCGAGCGGAAGTGGCCAAGCCACTTAGACCCGACATTCAGACCAGGGGTGGGCCGGGGGGACCCCAAGCGGGGCCTCTAGAAAGACGCCTTGCCTGATCAGGTCTTAGTCATCTGAGACCCCAGTTATCTTCGTTTGTGGTCTGTCAAGAAACGAGCAGGAGGGACGTGGAGGGCTGCTTGGTCTGCTGCACAAGACGGGAGGCAAGAGCGCGACTGCCAATCGACAACGAAGCACCAAATCGACCGGTCCAGGGCGGGCAGCAATGCAGGAAGGCACCACGCGAGACTGGATCTTGGAGGCAGGAACCAACTTCAAATTGCCCACCTACCTGCAAGGCACAAGGTACTTCTTACCTTCCGCAGCAGCAGACTTAAGGTAGGTACGGTGCACCTAAGGCACAACCATTCCGGAAAGTGAGGCATAGGTAGGTACCGTACGGAGTACCTGCCTTCCACTATCTATGTACCTAGATACCTACTCAGTAAAGAGGACCTTACTGTGGTAGGTAGGTACGCCCCCACACACCTTGAAGGAAGGTACCTTAACTGGCACTCCAGGAAGGCACGGGATAAGGTATCCGTACATGAACCGTGTGGCCTCCACACCTGACGCAGGGACCAGCGCCTCTCAAAGAGACAGAAAAAAAAATCAGTGGAACAAAACACCCGATTTCTACAAGACGCTCAATGTGACATTGACACGGCAAATCCTCCACCCACCCAGTCACCATTGGATTGACTGTGTGTTCGGCCCCCTTCGACCACAAAAGTTGCAGCGACAACTACGGATCGCTACTCTGCGAAGAAAAAACAAGCAATCACTTGAGTGAAACAACAGAGCAACACTGTCCACCCTTGTACCGGTACTTCGGGTCGCCTCGTCTTCTTTCTGGAACCCTTATCCGGAAACCTCTTCGGATCCTCCACGTCCCATGCCCTCGGTATCCGTATCCGCAAAGACATGGAGATTTTCTGACTTGTCCGAGGAACAGGATCGGCTAGAGAACACTTCAGTCTGAGATGTCATGACAAGAGACATCGGGTGCCATGGTTCTCGTTTCTCGCAACGATTGCTCTACAGAGGTCAATTCCGAACACACATAAGATAGGCTCAAGACGACGACGAGTCGTCCGTGGGGGGAGGTTTCCATCAACCATGGATCTTTCGCCCCGTCCGCCTACAGTTGATTGCGAACAATCGAAAGATTTCTACACCAACAAGAAGCGTATTGCTTTTTCTTCTGCGCCATCTAGCCGGCATCCACGGTTCACGCAAACCCAGACTACAGCGCATGCGCAAGTGCCTCTTCAAAGTTGAGGATTGGCTGATTCAAGAGACTTGAAAGACGCTTGCTTGCCCTAGCGGCCCTTCCGCACGACACACAACGGCCACTACGGTGCACGATCCCGGGAAAAGCCCTCTCACTTTGGACGTCTTCTTACCATTACCAACCGGACACATATCGCGCACCCAATGGGAACGCATCCAAGTCATGGCCCGAGAGGCCGGCAGAAAATATACTTCCGACCGAGGCCTGCCAGTCCCGCCGGTTTCTGATACGTGACAGCTCTGCACCAGTCTATCCGCTTTCCGTCCCTGTTTATCACTGCTCCCTATTCCGCAAAGGCAGATCAACAGGAGAAGTTGGCGCAAGACGGAGCACTGTTTGCGTTTTCGTAACCTAGAGGACGCAATGAACAGCCGCCATCATGCAGATGAGCTGACTAAACATATTTACGATCGAGACCGGGCGTGAAGATCAAAACCACCACAAGGCATCAAGGGCATCCAATGCCTCCACAGCAAGGCTTGGGTCGAAACTCGAAACCTTCTTTTACTTCATGCCCACCAAGAATGGACGCCATGGAGCGGGCTTTGAGCCTCTAGGTCAACGTCCCGGAGCCAGCCGGTACGAGGTCTCAGTCTAACTGGTACATTACTGGTACTTCACATCGCCTCCCACGATTGGATCTCTGGCCCTCCGCACCATGACGTTTGTGAATCATTACGCGTTCAGCAACAGTTCCACGATGTACGAACATGACCCTCTAGACTCTGGAGCCCTCAGACGTCTGTGAGGACACCTGCAAATCCTCAAGATGAACAGGCCGAATCCGACCAAATCACCTCCCGTCTCTAGGCATTGATCGTCCGTCCCGCCAATCCCACCCCAAACCTTATGCGTCGTACCAACGCGCCGTCTCAACCTACCGACATCGTCGTCCTGTCTTCCCCTGCTACAGAGCGACACTGACACTGCAAGGCCACCAGACCCTTTCGAAGAGCTGGCAAACGTGCATGCAATCGTTCCAACCCTCCATAGATGATAGCGCGACTTGCAGCCATCCAGAACTTAAAACCCATTCGTAATCGACCGTGCGCTCACAGATTTTTCTTGGATTTCTCCGGGGTCAAACGCAAGAAATAGGGGTTTCGCTCGTTCGCCGATCCCATCATCCCATGTCGCCTTGACGGGAAGGCGGGCGAGCAACAGGCCGTTTCTTCTCTACAGAAATGTCTCGAATTGCAGATGATCGATTCCGAAATGAAGGGCAGTCCACCAGCTGCTGGCAGCGCCTGGAAATCGGGCTACCCATCACTACTCTGGCCGCGAAACCCAATAACTCTTCTGCCCATGCCTCGCGCTGCATGTCACAGCCCTTTTCAGACTGATGCGATCCAAAATTCGATGTCAAATAGGTTCTAGAACACATGTGCTCCAACGTCTCGCATCTCGACATGCTCCTCATCGGTTCGCGTGACTTCCGCGCAGACGATCCCCGCAGGTCAATTGGCTTCGTCCCTGAACCCTGCGATACTCATGTTTGATTATCACAACGAACCCGCGTGCGCAGCGCTTATACCAGCGTTCATCCCTATCTTGGGGTATATAGTGCATATTCTCTTATCGCCATTCAAAACCTTTGGCATGGCGGAAGCGTTGCAATTCACTCCCGCCCCCCAATCGCTGTCTCGGCATTTACAAATCGCAAAAGCATATCTCCTTTGATCAAAGGCCAAGTATCATCGATCGCATAAGTCGATGAAATTCTGAAAACTTCCACGGGGCACTCGAGGCAAGACTAATAATAAGATCGGCTTGCCAAATATTCCGTGAGACGTCGTACTTGCATGTCCCCCGTTCTCAGGACCCTTTTCTCGAGCACAAGCCATCTCACCCGCCCGCTCATCCACTTGTTGCGAGGGTGGCGATGCTCACGAACTGGCGTGCCCAGTTCT